CCGAGACGATCCGCCGCCGGTTTCCCTGGTCGCCCGGCCCCGCTCTATTCGCCAGGCCTCTCCGCTCGGCTGCTCCGCTCGCTCTCCATTCGCGGCTCACGGCTCCGCCCGGGTGGTCCCCCGGCACGTCCGACACGTCCTTTCCGCTCGCCGACCCTCTCCTCCTTCCACTCCGGCCGGCGGGCACCCCCTGGACCTTTCAAGGCTCCCCCATCTCCGCTGAAGGCCCCGCGGAGACTACGGAGCCGAAAACGGTAGGTCTGCCATCTTAACCCTTGGTAGAACATGGGAAAATTAGCCAGAAATTTGTCCATAGTCTGTTAATATAAGTAAAAGAAGGAGAAAGTTGCATCGTATGGAATAAGTGTGACATAGCTATCCAAATAGATGTGTTGTGGAGCATCATATGGCATAAAAAATCCAAAGAAAAATAAGAAAAGATCAAAAAACCATTCAATAAATGGTGAACTCACTATGCTAATTAATTAATATGCTAACCCATATTAAAACAGAATACTATGTTTCTCATATTAATATCAAATTTTAAAAAACTAACTAAATAAAAAATGAATCCAGTTTTCTAGCAATAGTATTGGACCCAGCTCTTTCAGGCCTTACTTGATGCCTATGGGGAATCAATCCATAATAATAGCTGCATTGATCAGCATCTTAGTAAAGGATATTTTGTTAGTTAAATGTTATAGATCTCTTTTTTTCCTCTCCTCTAGTCTGAGCTGTGACTAATAGCACCTAGGAAAAATCACTATCAAGTGGTGTTATACACACACACATACACACACAAGTACACACACATCAGTACAAAAAAAACCCCATTACAGTACACAAAACATAGTATTTCTGGAAGCCATTTTTCAAAAGACGTTTCTGAGTCTAGTGGATGGATAGTGGAAGTAAAAAAGAAATAAAAGGAAAACAAATACTCTGCAGACAAGTCTCAAAGTTCAGAGGAGGATTAAGGGAGGACAAAGCAGTGGTGGGATTCAAATATGTGAACAACCAGTTGTCTGTGTGGATGCCGCTTCCAGAAGTCCATTCTGGGCCTAGGCAACAAAAAATTAGCTACTAG